GCTGCGATGCTGGGGCAGATGGAGCATCCCACAGGAGTGTGGTGGGAGGCCCTGTGTGCTCGGTGGTGAACCCGGAAGTGGACCAGAAGTACTTCCGGTCCACTTCTGGGTCCTCTGGGGAGCGTGCAGGGGCACTGGCCTGGCCCCCCCTCCCCCAGCTCAGCGATCGGCCGCAGGGGGACCCAGGATGCCCCCCCAGGTCCAGGAGGCACCAGTTGCTGAGCTGGGGGGCAGGGGCGAGGTCCCAGCGTGCTCCCTCATGCACCCAGAAGTGGACTGGAAGTGCTTCTGGTTCACTTCCGGGTCTGCTGCTGAGAATGCTGGGAAGCTCCCGTGGGACACGCCATCTACCACAGCATCGCAGCATTCATGAGCCACCTGGTACCTTGAAGTACGCAGAGAAAACATTTAAAGCTGTGTCTGTGTCCGTATTGTCAAATCTTTCTGAATCTTGCCGAATTGATTTGGAGGGTTTTGATTTGATTTGGAGAAATTAAAGGGTCTCCTGATTCGATTCAGAGATTCGGCCACCAAATTGGCCCGATTTGGTGGCTGAATCTCTGCTGAATCAAATCAATGACCAAGGGTTTGCACAGCCCTACTTTTTAGTACCCTTGACAGTAAATTCTTTGGAGCTTCTGAGCTTCAGCTCAAGTTCACACCATCAGTTTGAAGGGTCCAGAAGCATCTCAAGGCCAGGAAGTCACTGAAATGTTGTATGAAGCTGAAAATGTAGGACTCCAAGGGGAAATCCATCATGAAAAACAAAACAAGCAGAAACCAGTAAAACACTGTGTACCCATTTCTTCATCCAGCAGACACCTTAATTTCCTTTGGCCTCTTGTTTATTTAGAAGGATCTAACTTTCAGGTCAAAACTACTTTTTTTAAAATTTATTTCGAACCACTCAAAGCCAGAGACAAATAAGCAAGTGGATTTTTCATAGTTTGTTACATGTGCATAATATAATGTTGATATTGCTCATGCTGAATTTTATTTTGCTTTTTTGTTTGTTTTTGTAAACATATATTTAAAGCTAAGAGAGCTCTTATTATAAGGTGATTGCACTGTACATTTTAGGGGATTATAGTCCTCCAGAGGGGAATAATCTCTCATTTCAATAATATAGTGTTGGTTCAAAGCAATTCATGAATCTCATTCTTCAGCTCTGGGTACCATTTTAAGGAAAATGGAAGGCTGAGATGATTCATGTGGTCTGATTGGTCAGGGGACAGAATATCAGATCCCTAGTATGTGCTGTTCTGAAATTATCCATATGCTGGTGGTGTTTTTTGTCTTGTTCCTATTTTCAGTTTATAACAGCCCAGAGATTAAGATATGAGGCATTTCAGCGGAATTAAAGACTTGCTGGGCTGAATAGGTCTAATATATGTTATTCAACCCATCTGGTCAGTAATCCTCTAAAAAGACCATATAGCTAAATCATGTAGTTGTATTGCCATTCTGCTTCATAGATATTCTGTCGTGGAATTCCCAGTGTTTTCTAAAATAATCCACAAAAGCCCATATACTTGCTTAGTTTATGGTTTATTACATTTTCACCAAGCGATATGGTACATAAATCCTTCCAGTGTGCACTTTAAATAGTCCTAAAATGACAGCAGAAAATCTCTCTGAAGTAGTTTGCAAAGTATAATGGGTTTTGTCAAGTAAGCATGTATACTGTTTTATAGTTGATCCAATTGACTATTATGAAGAGAGAAGCATCTCACCAGCAACATTTCAGAAAAACAATGCTCTCAAAAAGCTAGGCTCTTGCTGTGGGCAGTGTTTCACTTAGCAGACAAATCAATGTACCAATGAGCAATTATTTACTTCTTAAATAAAGACTTGATTCTGCATCTATTCAAGTCAGTGTAAAGTTGCTATTGATTTCAGTGGTGTAGAATTAGACTCTGAGTGTTTTATCATAGTGAATGTGAAGAGACTCTTATTTCCATTTGGTCTGAGCTGCTTTCATGTCCATTTTACAAACCCATGGGAGCAGTGATAGATTTTGATGTATGCATCATAGTAATGTTGTTTTCCAGGGCATTACTCCAAAGATAAAATGCTTTAAGCTCCCACACAAGGGAGAGCTACTAGCAGGGACCTACTTGAATTGAGTTTTCATGATTTTTGTGGAAACTGAGAAGAACGTCGGTTTCTGTGATCACTGCGAAAAATGGTGTTTCCCGTGATTTTTGCAGAATCGTCTGGGTGGGGGAAAAAAAAGCTTATGGAAATACAAAGAAAGCGTGGCAATCCCTGCAGCCATAGAGCACATGGTTTGAGAGAGAGCTACTGAGAGGCTGAGCTAGTGATGTAGACTCGGCAAAGGCACCAGTCAGGAAAGCAAAAGGGTTTCAGCGCCATCTTTTAAGAAGCCAGATGCAATGCTGCGGCAGTGCTGCAATTTGAATTTCAGTGATTGGCTTCTTGGCCAATTAGTGGTGAGGGGAAGGGCTGCTGGGGCTATTTGGCCAATCAGTGGCGAGGAGGGGCTTGCCGTGAAAAGACTATGAAATGGGCTGTACATGCCGTGAGCAGCCCACAAAAATCCCTTTGTCTCTCTGTGATGTAGACAGGTCCCTACTAGGCCTGTGCAGAGTTTCAGTAATTGAATTAATTCAGAGGAGATTTGTCCTGATTAAGTGGCCAAATCTCTGAGTCCAAATCGAATCGGAAGATCCATTAAAAGGTCTTAATCAAATCAGAAGCCTCCAAATTGATTCAGAGAGATTTGGAGATTTGGAAAGCTTGTAACAAACAGAAACAGAAGAAGAAGAGGGATGGGGTGATCTTCCATATTGGAAAAGGCTGAGGGGGGGAAAGACTGCTCTGATATTGACATCTGTAGCTGGCCATTGACTGATTTTTCTCTGAGATCCTTTCCAATCACAGTGCTCGGCGGATGGGGGACAGGGACATAGAAACAACATATAAAGCTGTCTGAGGTGATCTGTGCCTTTTGTGAGCTGTCTCTCTTGGAGAAGCAGTGTCCGAAAGGCTCTGGCTTGCTATCTAGTCTCTTGCTCTCTTTTCTTGTAAGTTGTATCCAATCCTTGGATTGGAGAAGTTCCAGGGGATCAGTGTTCCTGGCTGGGGCAGGCCGCTTTCACTAGAGGGGCAGGCACTGGTGAAGCAGCTGAAGGAGAGCATCAAAAAATGGCTGGATCTGTTGTGGTCCAGTCCAGTCTACATGCTGACAGCCATAGAATCAATGAGTCAGAAGGGACCTAGACAGATCATCTAGTCCAACCCCCAAGTGCGACCCAAGGATGAAGGGGAGCACCTGCAGCAGCAAAACCCTGATCACTGGACAGAGGTGCTAGTGAACAGTCAGGGAGGCAGAAGGGCAGAAGCAGGGGGACGTGGAAGAGCGGGATCCACTTTCCTGTCCCAGCACTCCAACCACAAGCCAATCTCCTCCACCACAGCCGCTGCCAATGTAGGCCAAGTGCATGCCTTCAGTGTTGGGGTCCAGAGGCACCAGACCCCACCATCAGGCAGGTAGTGCGGAGGCCGTGGTGGCTACCTCACCGAGGACATGGAACTGCTGCACTGCAACCCCTTGGCCTATTAGGCAACCCACAGCCAGGTGTAGCAGGATCTGGCCACGGTTCCCCGGGAATACCTATCCTGTCCACCAACCAGTGTTCCAAGCGAGAGGGTGTTCAGCATTGCCGGGGATGTTGTGACACCCCACCGCACCTCCTTGGATCCTGGTTTGGTAGAGCAGCTGGTGTTCCTGAAAGTGAACCTCCCACTGCTGGGGTTCCCCAAGCTCCATGTGCAGACGGAGTGAGTGCCACCCTCCTCACTCTGCACCTATTTACTTTTTTAATTTGCTTTCAGAATCTTGCGGTGCATGTTCACAGAAACCCCTGCACCACCCTACCTCAAACCTAACAGGCCTCATGCCTGCACAAGGGGCTGTCATCCCTGCTGCTTTCATCCCGCTCTGCGTTAACACACACAAGTGATATGAGTTTTGCTTTCAACAGTTTGAGGTGCACTTTCACAGAAACCCCTGCACCTGTCTCCTTGAAACTTGGCAGGCTTCATGCCCTCAGAAGGAGCTACCATCCCTGCTGTGTTTTCATCTGAATCTGCAAAAAAATGACAAAGTTATAGTTATTTTAGTGATTTCCCCATTATAGTCTACAGCCGCATTGAATCAGGACAGTGATTCGAATCACTGAATCGAATCACTGTCCCTCTGAATTAGCCGAATCTGAATCTGGATTGAATACTTGCTGCTTCGCACAGGCCTAGTCCCTACCGATTAGCTTTGTCAAAGGCTGTAGATTGATGAAAAAAGCAGCCCTTAAATTTGGCCATGAGGACTTCATTGGTTACCTTGGTATATGTATGTTGTCTTGACATATTGGGAAGATAAAGAATGTCATTATGCAAGCAGCAGCCCTCTGCTACCACCCCCCATACAATTTATATAGCAGTGTCCAGAAGATTTGGTTCCTGTTGTTCTAAGCAGTCTACGTATGCCAGGTAAGGGACTGACCCTGCCCTGAGAGTTTACATGATGGGACTCTGATTCAAGAAAGTATCCCTATTAACAAAAGCATTCAAGCATTTGCCAACCCTTAGCAGGATTGAGCAACCCATGGCTTGCCTGGTGCAAGTAGTATGAGCCCTGGCCACTCAGGAAAGGGAGGCACCAGAATTGAGACAAGAGGAGGAACTGACTGCTTCGTGAATGGGGTGGAGAGAGGGGTGTTGGGGTCAGCTGTCGCTACTAAGAGCCAAGTCAACCCCTCCCTGGCCTCTTATCAAATTTTTAGGATCTCCATTTTGCCATATAAAACTGCAGTGTTGGGGGGGGGGGGTAGGGGAAATCAGGGAAGGGTTAACTTAGCTTTTGGTAGTGAAAATAATATGCTTTTGCCATTATGGCTTAAAATTTATTGAAGTTTTAGGACAACTAGAGTGCACAATGCTAGACTTCATAAGTAATAATAAATTTATTCTTATTTCAGATCCTTTGACAAACGAAAAATGGCTACTGTAGACAAGAAGGTAAACTGTGTCCTATGGCTAGCAGAATTGAAGTCCGTATCAGCTGTGAGAAGAAAATGGTGGTTATGTTGAAGTCTAGCACTGTGTACTCTAGTTGACCTAAAACTTTAATAAATTTGCTTTTAAATGCCGTTTACAGATTGTTTCTATCATACCTACAACCTAAGCTATTAAAGTTTAAAAGTGCACAAGGACTTTATGAAACCCCTGTGTGTGTCTATCTATCTGCCTAGAGATCTCTCTCTCTCTCATGAGAGAGAGAGAGAGATTTCTATAGATAGGTCTATACAGAGAGATCTCCACACACACACACACACACACACACACACACACACACACACACACACAC